TGAATATGTGAATAAAATATGGCTGTAAAGTTTGCTTCCTGGAATATGTTGTGTCTGTGGCAAATGCAGAAGTCAGAAAAATCTTTTATATAAAATCTTTTATGCAAAATGCAGAAAAATCTTTTATACACCATATTATGCTGGTGTTGATATTAGCATCCATACATATAGTATACAGGTAATGAATTCCATAAAAGCACACAGTCTACACAGACAGGCTTCCTTAGCTTTTGGTCCTTGTGTTGTGACTGAATTTATTCTGTGTAAAACAACTGCTGCTCTCGCAGCACATTTTCAGTCTTTCATTCTTTTCCTTCAGCTCTAACCCAAAGAACAGAGATCAAATAAACCTAGTTGGTTTAGTTACAGTTAATCAAAGAGAAGCTTCCCCACTCTTTCTTAAGAAAGGGAAGCAAATCTGCCCACTAGTAATTGTGAATAAAAAGAAGGAAAGAAAAGATGGAGCAGTGTCTCGTGCCATTGATTTCAAAGGGAAAAAGGGGAAAGAATCATGTTGTGTCTTTCGTTGCACAGATTACAGACTTCTTACCTTATCCCAGAGCAACGAGACTTTAATCTGACATCTGAGTTTCTGTTCCATCAGGAGAGATACTGCCTGTCAAAATAATCTTTGACAAGGAGAAGGCGGAAAGATAGTAGCAGCTCTAAAATTAAGGATGAATGTTGAACTAAGTTGTGAATGGAAAATATGTGTGAAACATACAGGGTAGTTTTAACCTGAATATCTAGCTCCACCACAAGGACTGGATCTGAATCTTTAAGAAGCAGAAAGATTTAGTCCCATTTCTCAAGGCTAGGGCTGAGAACAGATTTCAGCCTGGTACTTGTGGGGATTTGAGATGGGAAAGAAGAGAGTGAAATCCCCTTTAATCACTTTGCAAGGGGATCTCATTTGACACAGGGGAACTTGCATGCCTGTCACATTTCTGGAAAGTGGCTGCTGTCTGCTTGGATGAGTGGTTTGTCAAAGATGTCAAAAGCTTCTGTAATAGAAAATACTCTTCTAGATTATAGATGTAGCCAGTACAATAATACCTGTGGAAATCCATCCAAATTTGCGTCAAATGTTAAAATAATGTTCATTGCAGTGTACATATAAAGGCAAACTTTCATCTGAGAATGAAAGTCAGTGATTGCTGTATTATTCTGAAAATTTTACTTATAGTCCAGTATTTTATTTAGTTCACATAGTTTATTTTCTATCTTCTGGCTCTATGTCAAATGCTCAAAATACGGAGAACAACAGTAGACTTCTAGGTCTGTGGCTTGCATCACTTGTTTCCTCCCCAACACCAGTAAGTGATAATTCCACCACTTGTTTTCTCTTATAGCATTGTGATAAACCACATTATGGAGTTCAGCATTCCTGAGGCCCAGCAAGTTCTGGACTGTGGTCCTGAATCACAAACTTTTTGAGATTTCAGCTTAGTGGATTTTTGACAGTCATCTCTTTCTCATGAATGGATCCACAAAAAGAAGTGAAACAAATGTAATTCTTACAATTCTTGCAAATGTTTCTCTGAAATAATAGCAAAAATACAGCTTTCAGACCTTTGACGTCCATCTAGTCATAGCAGAGTAGAGCGAGGGATATGTACAGGAGTTCAGTGTTTCTATAAGGATCTAAGACGTATTCCATCTGAGTATCTAGTTTTTTAACTTGATACACTACCTGCTGCATCATAGATGCTAAGAAGGAAGCATGACAATGCGATCCATTGTAATATGCACCAGCCAAAGTATGTACAACTGTATATCTAATTAGTGTTTATTATCAGTAATAAAAAATGAATAAACTGGAGGTTGACTGAGTGTGGGTAGCAAATATGCACTATCCCCAGAGAAATCAGAGCAAAGGCTACTCGTCAGGATTTCTCAGGACAGTAAATTCACTGAGGGCAACCACAGACATGAGGTGTGGGTAACTTTCTTCAAAGTGACTGCTGTGTCCCTGTGTCCAGGAATAGCCTGTACATGTTACCTATTCCCTTTCTGTGAGGGCCACCCCTCATCTCTGTAACCCAGAGAGTTTAAATTGTAAAAGTAGAGTAAGACCCTGTTGTTGTGGATTGTTTTATTTTAGCTCTGATCAGTTAAACAGACAGGTCACTGAAAGTAGTGACTTGTATTTTCAGCTGATAATTCTCTAAAAGCAATTAAGTTATAATTGCAGCTGAATAATCCCACCAGATTGGGACTGCTGACTTCACAGGCTGGTTGAAGTTGGAAGAAGTGTCAGCAAGTCACCCAGTCCAATTCCCTACTCAAGCAGGGCCACCTAGAGCCAGTTCCCTAAGGGTGGAGGCTCTGTCATCTCTCTGAGTAACTCGTGCCAATGCTTGCTCACCTTCACAGTAAAAAACGTGTTTCCTGATATTCAAACAGAACCTTCTATATCTCGGTTTGTGCCCATTGCCTCTGAACCTGGCACTGGGCACCACTTTAAAAAGGCTGTCTCCATTCTCTTTGCACCCTTGTTTCAGGTATTTATATACATTGCTAAGATCCCCCTGAGCCTTCTCTTGCAGAGTTATAGTGGTGTGACACCAGACTGTGTTTGTGGCTTCCCTTTCTTTAGTATAGAGATGTGTTAAGATTTCAGTGTGAAGAGTGAGAGCCATCAGCACAAAAAGTATCTCATCCCTGGGTTTGGGCTGTATATATGTATGTGTGCCTACTTAACAAGAAAGAAGAGTTGAAGTGCTTATCCACTGTATAATCCCACAGACTCCCTCAGCATATTTCTGCTCTTCAGTGTTTGTATGTGTGAGGATGCCCTTCTTTTACTGAAAGGCTGACAGAATATCAGGACTGACTGGGGTCATGCTTGACACTAGTTTTTTGTGGGAGATGCTGTCTTCTTTGCAGTTAATAGAATGGTAGTACAGGCAAGGGAGCAAGAGTTCCATGGACAAAGATGTAGTTATTAGAGTTGAAGAGAGGATGACAGGTTTGTTTTGCAGCTGATTTCCAGATCTGAAATAGAAAGGTTTTGTTTCACACTGGAACAAAGGCATAGCCATGCAAATACTTCCACACATGCAGTCGTCCCTCAAATATTCATCCAGAGTCTGAAACAGTCTTCTGAAACTTAAATAGGTGAAGCAGGCACTAGCTGATAGTGTAACTATATCACATTTATTCCCTGCCTGAGTTACAGCAGAGGTTGTTTCAAGCCCATGTGTCCCGTGATCTCAGTTGATGGTGTTGAAAGTGAATGTGTGGAGGGAAAATACTTCCCTGCAATGACAGCAAAGACCCACCACTTTCCACCTATTCTTTTTGCTAAGGTTTTGAGTCTACTGTCCCTATGCATTTCCAAAGTTGCTTTGTGCCATGCTCGACTCTGAAGTAAATCTTCTCTTGCCCTACTTTGAGAGTGCTGCCACGGCTACCCTGTGTCATCCCTGGCAGCTGGCTCAGATCCCTTTCTCCCAAACATCTCCGACTTGCTTGAAAGAGAGTTTGCCCATAGTCTGGGAGATGTTGCCAAATCTAGAATAGATATGGACATAAGTGAGTAGAGAAAACACAACTCAAAGGAATGTGAATACCAGTTTAATTTTGTTCCTGGCATTTTCCCTGTAGGTTAAAACAATCATTTAACTGATTATGAAGACAATATGCTTTTAATGACTAATACACATTTTTTTTCTCTCTTAATGTACAGGTCATTTATCACTACTCTGTTGGAATATATGCTTACATCCAAATTTTACACAGTTATGAAGACATAGGTACGATGTTACTAATTCATGACAAATTAATACTAGGTATTGTAAATTAGCAAAGCTCTCCTGCAAAGATCCTTGCTTCATCTTTTACATGTGTATACATATAAAAGGAAATAGCAGGCAGCAAAAATAAGTGACACTGGACCTTTGCACATAGCATACATGTTCTCACTACAGATGAATTGCTTACTGCCTTGCTCTAATGAAAAAAACCACATTGCTCTGATAACAAGCTCTTTTCATAGAATAATTTTCAACTGACTTCAGCTTTTTACTCAAACAAGGTGTCTGCCCTTGCGTACGGTGATTCTGGGGAAATTTTATGAAGACTTTGTATGTATGGATCCCCTCACTAAGCTGCCACCATGATGTCTGGATTGGGATGCTAAAGAAAAAAGGGACTGACCTGGGACTCACATGACTCAAGTACCATTTAAATGAAAAGAGCTAGGACAAGTGTGCTCGTTTTCCCATACCAGACTTTACAAGCAGCACTTAGCCTGAGGAATGGAGTTCTGGGACTATTTCCTATTTCTCTTGCTTTTCTATACCTACAGCACAGCAAAACCTGTAGCTGCTGTTTGATGATTATCACCTCACTCAGACCACATGTGCAGTGCAAAATGTCTATTCTGTTTTCAGCTATCAGAATGATAAAGAATTATACAGAAGAAAGCTAAGCCCAGATCAGTGGGTTTTTTTCTATATAAGCTATTCCAAAATCCACAGGAAGAGCCTTCCTGTCTGATTTCCCAGCAAAGTTTCTTTTCATTTAATAATAAGTACATAAAACAGAGGTACACTGAAGATTTACAAGCTTCTTGCAATTAAAAAACAAATGGAGCCAACATGCAGCTATTAACTTATATGACAAATTGCAAATAGACATAAAAAAGAATGGTTATAATTCTTGGTCAGAAGCCATAGCTGATTTGACAAAGTCAGAGCTGGATTGATAAAAGACATCTTAAAGTTGCTGCACCTTAACTTTGATTTCTTCAGATAATTAATTTCAAAGTGATAGTTTTCTCCTCTTGTTTTCCAAATGGGTGCAATAGTCTGTCTGTTTGTTCTTCTAATTGTACATATAAATTTTTTATGAAATCTGATACACCAAAGCGGCTTGGTAAGTGTTCAAAATGCTAGTAGAGACAGAGAGGTTAACTGAAGTTTTTTAAAATGTTATTAATTATTTCCTAGTGCTGCTTCACCTCGTAGAGGCTACGGTCATTTCACTGTTGATGGTTATAATTCTGTCTGAATGAGGCGTAATGCTTTCTTCATGTTCTCTATTACTGAAAGAAAAATAAATAAGAACTGTAAAAATACACTTAGAGTGTATTTGTGAAATTAAAAAACTCACCCAGTTTGTTTAGTAAATTGTTCACACTGAAATTCATTTATGGTTATAATTATATTCGAGAGCTTTCATTTATGAAAATTCTGCCATTGAAACTAAAGCAGAAGGTTAAACATTTCCCGAATCAAAATGTTTAACTTAAAAGGATTCGACAAGGCTCCTTTCAAGTCCCAACAACAAGCCTCGTAATCAGATGTGAAGTTCATATCTGAGGTGAGATACTGCACTGGTGTCACATAGATGGTATAGAGCAAGGAACTAGCTCAACCTGAAAAAGCACATTCCTTCCTGAAATACGGGGGTTAGGTGACACCCAGGTAACCACTAGCATTTCTTTACTGATTCCCTCCCACCACTGACTGTTTACATCGAGCATAGAGGCTTTCACCATTCTCCAGTAAACTGCACAGATCTTGATCCTGAAAGTTCTTACCCACAATCTTTCAATCTGTCTTACCTGAGCAGTCTCAGTAAATTCAACAGGACAATAGGTGTGCTTAAGTTTTTTGGCTGGAACAGGTTAGGCTGTTATAACTCATTGCAAATGCTCACACGCAGTTTTTATTCATTACTTTGAGATCTTAACAGGTTCTTAAGCACAAACGAGGGGTGTATCCGGCTGCTTACAATGTGAAATGCAAAATAACACAACCCAGGGGGCACTTACGGAATGGTATGTCTTGCGGTTCATAGGCGTAAAGCCGGTTGGAATATCTTCCTGTGATATCAGCTCTTACCGTGAGTGATGGGTCTGAAAAAGTAATCATATTAAATGCTGTTTTCCATTCCCACAACAGCCGAGGGATGCCAGTACTTTGACAGCCCTGGTCCTGAGGTGTTCTGTTGTCATCAACGAGGCAATTACGAGATCGTTACGCTCTGTTCCGACCTACAGCTTTACTTGGAGAAATCCTGAACAAAAGCTAATGTTCATTTTTATGTTATGCAGCTCTTTAAAAGTGATAGAGACCACACACATTTCAACCATATTTAAAGAAAAATATGCTATTTTACTAGATCTGGGCTGACATCAGGGGAGGCTAATTTGACTGGATGCCACATAGTGAGGGTCATATGTACCTAATGCAATGTTAGAATCACCTCCCTAGAGCCTTCAGGATGAAAATCTTGTGATTCCTAATGTTTCCATTATGGAAGAAAGTTATCGTGGGCATTTTTTCTTCCAGTCCCACTTCCAAGGTTTTTGTTAATTAAATGACTCCTGTTACACACTGCTGTCTGTCTGAGTCTGGGCTTCATCTCACCTAACTTTGGATGTCACTCGAGGCTTCTGGTACAGTTGGTATAGAGGAATAGGCACTCTGGGGCAATGATTCACTCAATCTATTCCAGAAGTCAGCTTTACGATGGGGTAAATCATTCTTTAGGTGCCACTCTCTATTGACTTGCTCTGTGGTAGTGTCCACTCTACAGACATCAGTCAGATGTTTGACTGTTTTCAGTAAACTTTGTCTAATAACAGCTCTACCAAGAAGCACAGCGAGCAAAAGCACAGATGCTAACAGGTATTTAATCATCTTGTCCCCGAGCACAAACTGAGTATCCTCCAGGACATATCTGTAACCTGAGGAAGTTTACAAGGATCAAAGCCTGCGACAGAGGGAGAACTGACCTCAGATCTGCCAACTTCCAGACTAATGCCATGGTGATGATGAATTTTGAGCTATTTTCTTCTTGCAGAATGAATCATGTTAATCTCCCCAAAGGAGGACACTGGCACAGATTCCTGTAGCACAACTTTGAAGATACATAAATATTGTACATACCTATGAACATGATTCGAGGCACATATTGTCCATCAGGTGACAGGTTTTTATCTGTGGTTTCATGCTGGCAGAGAAATTAAAGCAAGTTACTAAAATATGTAAATTTTTCTGAAATACTACGGGCTGTAAATAGTCTTGTATGAGAGGACAGAATAAAAAAGGGTGCTACTTCTGTGTGGATACACATACACAAATGCCTGTACTTTCATCTAACCGAAATCCCAGGGATAATTCACTAAAATGACATGAAAAGCAAGACAAAGAAAGAGAAAACACAAGCCAAGAATAGCTCCCAGTCAAACTGCCCCAAACCCTTCATACCATGAGATTCAGCATGACGAAGTTATTTTGGGCCATTTCCTGTATCTCTTCGTTTTCTGCAAAAGCTTTCTTCAGCGCTAGAAGAGACATCACCATTTTGAAGTTCATTTCAGACACTGCCTTTCCTTCTGCATTGGCTGGAGACTGGCCACATTGTTCCCCTCTCTGCTCATTCACATTCCCGAGGAGACGCTTAAGGGCTCTATCCCTGTTTTTTGGGGGGTTTTTGACCCATGTCAGCACAACCTCCCGGCTATGAAAATGGAAGCTCTCTTCTGTTATTTATGAAGCCTGTCGTCTCAGTGGATACCACGTCTCAGCTTGACAAAAGAGCATTATTCTCGGCAAAGTCTGATTAGATCGGTTTCAGCAGCCCTGTCCTCATCTCCTTCTTTAGTTACCCCGTTCGGGAGAGCCAAACAATATTAAATCTGTTCAATGAGTCAGTAGCAAATCTGTGTCTCCTTAATTTAAACTGACGAGTGCTGCATTAGTGAAAGCAGGACAGCAGCACTGAGTAATTTTCATTGTTGGGTAGTTTCATAGTGGTATTTATTGTAAATAGCTGTAGTAAATTCTTATCTTTTTGAAGACATTTTCTTTTACCTATTTCTTTAAATAACTTTCACTAAGTGCTAGGTAAATATATATACAGGTGCATTTTTTAACAAAAATAATCACAAAATTTTAACACTCAGAAAATCAAAATTACCTTGACAATATTGACAGTCTTCCAAATGATGAATTACCATCAATGGCTTGTTACTTTATTAATAATAAAAAACCACGTTGTTAGATCATTTGACAAGCATGTAAAAGGATGATTTTACAAGCAGACTGGAAAAGTAAATTACATTTAATCTTATGTTAACCCCCAATAAAAAAACCATACAGACATTCTGTAAAGAACTACAAATGGTTTTGAGCAAGGAAAAAGAATACAACTCCTTCATAAAAGAAATAAATAGAGAAATAGAGTTTCTATATCTAAATAGGTTATCTAAAGTAAGAGAGTCTAGAAAAAAGAAACAACAGAGCCATCAATTTGTTTCCAGTTAGTATATAACCAAGCTGAAGAGGTATTTAATATTGCTCAGGTATGAAGTTCCCCATAATTAAGAAAATAAAATTAATCTGTATGAACTGGAATAAAATATTTTTTATAAAGTTTGGTTTATCATCAAATACTTCCCATGAAAAGTTTTATGGTTTTTAAGCTTTCTTAAATAGATATAAAGTAAATAGGTTTCTTTTTTGTTTGGTTGGTTTTTTTCTGTAAATATTCTGGTAAAGTATCAAAACTTTATATTTTTGGATGTCAAAATATGAACAATTCTGTGCATTTTCTCCTGTACTTTTAAAAAACTACTGTTAGTGTTCAACAAATCAGTTACTAATGCTATCACTGTCAAGAATTCTTCAGTTGCTGGCCATTTTCACATAGGGTACATGAAATGAATTGCCTTTTATTTTAAAAATAATTTACCTTCAGTTTACCATTAGTTCATGCTACACTATTATGATTTAAAATGAGCTGTAAAATAGATTTAAATCAGTATTGTTACGAATTCTCAGATACATTATTAGCTGAGTCCCAGAGCAGAAACTTTAGTTTTTACCAAGATAGTGAGAAACTGCGGGTACATCCTGTGCATATGCCAACTAATAAAGTGTTGGGGAAAACATCAGAAGCAGAAGACCACCACGAGAGAGCAAATGGAACTGATTTCCAGTTCTTGATTAAGGAAATAGTCAGAGGTTCATGATATTAAAAAAAATATTCCAGGTGTATTTTTAAAATTATACCTATTTATCCTTCTTTACTGAAATGACAACAGTGCTGTTGTGATAAAGAAATGACAGTGTTAAACTGTCGGCCCATGGTGTTATATCAGATTCATAAGACTGCTGCAACAGCTTTTATTTACTGACACAAAATCTCTTTTACTTAACTGGGTGGTCTGCAGATCAGCTGTCATGGTGTTTTGTTGTTCTGTTTCGTTATAGTATTTTTGGGCGTGACTGGTTAATGATGTCTTTCAAATTATTTTTTTTAATCTCTTACCTTTTTTTAGCTTGATAAAGCCCTTCTTCATAAGTTTGTACCCAGGTAATTTCATCTCCCCACCCTGGAAATATATAAGAAAAGGATTAAAAGGTAGCCAGGCAAGCAAATCATAGCAAAATCCTTTTATATCTAATCTTAAATCTAATAAGATTTGAGTTTTTTAGTCTGAGGTTCCCAAACGTTGTGGATATGTTAATTCTACATCTCCTGATAGGTGCGCTGAAAACTTTAAAACAACAACCACTGAAAAATTTTTAAAAAAACAACCAACCCACCCCCTCAAAAGCCTTCAGCTGGTTGCATATCTGGTTCAAATCCTTTGGGAAATCTGTTTGATATCTTGCTAAAAACTCAGATGTCCCTGAATCAGCACTCAAATCCTTTATTTTTATATTGTCTACTCCTATTTCATGTAGACCTTGGGGCTTAAAGAGAAAGTTGGCTTATAAAAGAGAGAAAAATAAAATATGACAACTCAAATAAAGTCAATTTGAGTAAGAACACTGTTAGAACAGTCTTAGGTTTTAAGCTTAACTCCTGAGTAATGAATTTCCATCCCTGAAGTTGCACATACTTAATTAGTTAATTTAATAAAACAATGGCCGTTAAATAAAATTCTCCACCAAAACAAGATCCTAATAAACATCAGCTTCATAACAGATCCACAGCTGGTCATAGACTGATCTCAAAAAGCAAATTGTCCAGTTGGTTTCGTGCTTTTCCGTGCAAAAGAGGCCAGTCCCTCTGGGGCAGCTCCTTGCCTCCCAGAGAGTGTTGCTCCACTCGTGACGGCCCTTGTGGAAACTACAGAACAGCTGCTGGACCTGAACCGGGTGAAGGCTCTGTTTCTTCGGTGCTGTCTGGACAGCCCTTGGACCAGCCCTGGTTCTGCAGAGGTTTCCCATCAGCTTCCTCATGGGACAGTTGCTTGTGACACTACTGGCTCATCTCTTCTTTCAAGAGATTGATTTCGATGACAGGTCTGTCTGGCTGATGGTGGGATTCTAGCGTGTTGACCAGTGCATTCCCTGACTGAAATCACCTGCTGGCGTGGGTAACCTCATGGAGGAGTCAGCAAGGGTCCTTTTGCAGCAGGTTTAAGTATTCCCCTTTGATCTGTGAAAATTACAGGTAAAGCACTCAAGGTATCCCAAAAAGCTTGAAATCAGAAAACTGACACTTGCATTCCGCATTTTTCTTTTTTTTCAGAATTGCCAGAATTGAAGGGATTTTGTTATCTTTCTATGCATTTAGGCTTAGTGGGAAAAATAAATTCTGATCTGGGCAAGACAAACAGTAGACACTGGACTAGTTACAACCTTTCTCCAGGGATATCACTTCTGAGAGATGATTTGCAATTTCTCTTTGGTTGCCCTTTGCCAGTGCTTTGCATGGGAAGACCTCAGAGCTGTGGCATCTGCAGGCTTTGCACAGCTCGCAGAAGAGGTCAGGAAGGGAGGTGGAGATTTTTTGGGGTGAATAGGCCCCAAAAGAATAGGGAAGATGGAGAAGACCTTGGTAAGCGATTTCTCTGCTTGTATTTCTCAGATTGATCAGACTAACTTAAAATAGGGTCTTTAGCTCCCATTCAAGTTCAAAATTATGCACTACAAGGAAGTAGGTTTTTTTTTATCCGCTGAAGAAAATGACTGTGACTAGGATGAAAAGCAAAAGGAAAAAAACGTCACGCAGAAAAACCCATCAGTGACTCAAACTAATCTGTGTATAAAAATGGATCTGCAGAAAAATTGTTCCACGGCAACTGAAGTTAGAAACTGTTTCAGTAGTCAATAAGTTACCATAACAAAATATCTTTTAATTAGTATATAAACCAATATTTTTCATTGATGGTCCTGTGAGTGCACTCTGGTTTGAGAGACTCAGTTGGGGTTATTCGCTTCTACTGGGTCACTCTGAGTTACATAAATTATGCAGGTTAGGCGAAGCCCTCAGCCGTATTCTTAAGAGCAAACTGACGGAGTGAAACGACACGGAATGAGAAGATGCACTACTCAGAGTGTCATTTAACATTAGAGAAACACACCTAAGTAGGTATATATGTGCTTCCATGCACATTCTAAATAAAAACATTTGCTGACCTATACGGTAAGGTAAGGAGGTAACAAAAAACAGTAAAAATGCGGTACCTCTTGACAGTGTCTGAGGGGCTCGTTTTTCCTTTTTGATGGCCATTGCAAGGTTGGAAGAGACTGCAATTAGCAGGAGGGACAAGGCCAGTGTTGAATGGAGCATTATTTCCCTTTCAATGCAGCAAGGAAACTGGAAAACAAAGCAACAGCTCTAGTTGCATGGATTTGTCACCTGGCACAGAGTAAATCAATGTGTTAGTGGTATCCTAACAATCTGTGCAGCAGAAACAGATATTTGGTATTTCTAGAAATGCCTTTCTTTGTGAGAAAAGTGCAGAATGGAGGTGCTTAATTTTATCCTGCAACCCTGCTTTCAGCTGCTGTCTGGGTTAGGCTGCAGGGGACGGTTCTCACTACAGTGTGATCAGGGGAACAAAGTTCATTTCAGTTCATTTCTGGTCACCCAGCATTTAATTCTTATGAAGGAGTGCAATGTTGTAACACTGGATCATGAAAATTTCAAGACAGTGCTACTAGTTATTTGTTCTGTTAGTTGTTTTTTGTTTTGGGGTTTTTTTGTTTTTTTTTTTTTTACATTCAGTGAAGCATAACAGCATGGGATTGTTTTTGTGGATAGCGGTATTTTTGGTCAAAAGATGCCCCATGATATCCTTCTTAATAAATAGGCAAATTGACAAATACTGCCTCTAGGTATAATAATTTTTAAAGCAGTAAATGCCTCCAGAATGTTGAAATTGCCATTGGTTTTTCAGCTTGCATTCTGTAAACCAGGATGTTAAAGATTGTGAGATAAATGTGAAAGAAATTTCCAGGTGTTTCTCACAGCAAAAACTCAGAAATTTTCCCCATTTTTTAAATTTTTCAACTGATTTTCAGCTCAGCTCCTGCTTAATAAAGCAATCTATCTGTACTCCTGGCTGTTTCAGTATTACAAAGATGTTTGCTTCTCTTTCTAAGATCATTACAAGGAATTCAGTAACTTCTGGTCTTGATAAAAGAACAAAAGCATTACAAAGCCAATATTCTTTTAAATTGATAACCCTTCCTTCTGCCTGGTCCAATCATCTTTATGCATTAAAGCTCTGATAGTCAGGTGGTTATTTGATTTGAACTAAGTTAAAATATGTTACTTTTGTATCCCTGGATGCCACTCAGTCAGCTTATCAGTTATCACTGGAGATTCCACTTTTAACAAACCTGGTTTTATGAGTTACTGTTGAGGAAGTGCTTTAACTTAAATAAAAAAATCTTCTTGATAAAGAAAATTTCAAATTTGGATGTAAAACTGATGTCAAATATGGAATTACAGCTCTGAGCACTGACAAAAGCAGATGCATTGTGCTTCTCAGGACAGAGAGCCGTAACAAGTACAGCAGCTTTTATGCTTATTTTAATAATCTCTCCACATCACTTCTAATTTCTGGAGTTCAATTTTTGGTGAACAAATTCAAACTCCCCTTTCAATAGCTGGCAGTCTCAGTGCAGGAAAACCAATCTATTCAAGTGACTGGAGAACAATTTGCATGTTGAAATATGCAAAAATTTAGGAAAAAAACTGAAGTATCGTCTTGTAGTACAAATCCTGTATTTCAGAAGAAATTTCTGTAAGTCACTAAAATAATTAATACATTCGTTGTAATATTTTTCTCCTTATTCTTACTCACAACACTTCCTTTCCCATACGGTATCACAAATTTAGAGTTCTTTGTTTCATGTGCTTCCTTAGGCTCGTTCATGTTAGCTATTGTTGATTGAGCTTCAGAAAGGAATCTCCTTTAGAGCTAATTAATTATGCACATTAATTTGATGATTGGAAATTATTGTTGTTTTGTAAGAAAATGTGAAGTTTTCCAGTGTTTCCTAAGAGATACAAGTTTTAGTTAAGTCTGAGGGATGAGAATTTTTTGGTAATAAAAATACGATTCAAATTTTCCCTGTTTGTGCAGAGCACTACCTTCAGCCAGCAAAAGCAGATCGTCACACCCTACCACGGAAATGAATATTTGTGGCAACTCTATGTGAAAGTTAACTATCTTTAGTATCAGTTTACCTATTAGATGTTAACAAAATCTAACATTTATGTTATATTAACATGTCAAAATGATTTTAAACATAAATAGTTATGACTTTGAAATCACGCCAGATAGCGTCTCTATAAAGCAGGTACAGTATGCACGAGTCAGCTCCGTCATAAAAGAAATTGAGGTGTAAATCTCTTCAAGTCACAGGAATAATTATCTGAAGCTTAAATAATTGAATATCACCATACTGAAAACCAATAGGGTTTTGGAAGGAGAATTTATGGAGCTGTAGCTGGAAGCAGTTTAAATTCAATATTCTGAATTTTTGATGTTACATGACCCAATGTTAGTTAATTGATTAAGAGAAAAAATAGACAGTCAACACCATATAGATTGCTTTCATCTCTCTGTCAGAACAAACGTTTTGCTAGCTAACCTGTAAACCTCTCTCATTTGTCCTTTTTCTATAACTAGGCTTGTAATGCATTTGCCAACCAAACCTTATCACGGTACTAACGGAACGTTAAGAATGAGAAATACTTGCTCACCAGCAGCGATTAATTCTCCTGATGGAAGGTCCTTTTTTCTCAAACTGGTTAGTTAAAAATCTGTGTTTTTAAGCACAGAACACCTGAGCTGCCCAAGTCTCTTTGCAGCAACAACAGCACATTCACCTGGGAAAAAAATGAGAGGAACCTTTGAGCTGAAAACGAAACTCAGGTGTTTCCACCCTCCCCCTTCCTTTTCTGCCATCCCTCCAACTTTTGCTCTTGTGAGTTCCTATGCTTATACACTGAATCTTTGGATTTCTCTTCATCTTGGCTTGTATCAGGTGTCTTGTACGAGGATTGGAAATAAATAATGGTTTGTGTGTGTCTGCTGCTTCCCCTCTCAAACAGTTTGAGTCTGGCTTATGTCCAGTGAAAGAAGAAACCACCAATGAAAACTGGAACTGTGGGTGCTTTTGTTCCCAGTGAATGGATGGGTTCATTGGTGCTTGAAGATAGGTATGAACCTAATAGGAAGACACAAGGATGACTTTGTGTAGAGGGATGTGATTAACAAATAAAACAAACTTTTTTTGAAGGGGGAAATAAAATTATATATTTGAAGAATACAGTTTAAAGTATCATCCGACTATTTCTTCAGTGAGTTGTAGTTTAAAAATGATCTGATTCTTTGCATATGATGCTTGATATAATTTTGACCTAACTTGTCTAATACAGCAGAAGTCCTTTATACATCTTCTTTCAAAGAGAAGGAGTTAGCTGCATCACCTTCTCCCTTCTCCTTGAATAGCATTTGCAAGGGAAGCAGAAGTAATCCTCTTTTGTTCTTCCTTTCACATGTACTTGTTTATATGGTCCATATAGTTACACTTTTTCCTCCTATTTTTCATGTAAAATCCTATTTGTCTTCATGCTTTGGTTTCCTGATGTTTGTTGTCACTGATATGTATATGATTAATGCTGTATAGCTTTTGTATTATCAACTATTTTTGTACCAAAAAGTACAAAAATGTGACTTTCTGTATTTTTAGTGCTAAGTTATTTTTAACATTTGTAATGGAGAATTCAAACTTGCATTTCTGCACTCATTCATTAGTGTGTTCTTATTCACTTCATTGAACTTGGCCAATTTAGTCTCCAGGGTATTGTGGGCAGAGGGTGTTTCCATTTTTCTCTTCCATTGCAAAGGATTTATTTTGGAGGTATGAGTTAACTATGGGTTAACTGTTTATACACAGTTGTATCCAAGTCAAAATTAGGAAATATGAAAATGAGCTAAATACAGGGCAGAGCAAGGCAGCAATAAAGTACAATGAAGAGGACAGACTTTTAGAAAAAGACGTTGCAGAATAACTGACTCATGGGATCGCATGCTGCTGCTTTTGTGTGACCCATGCAGCAGTAGATTTAGATATGTATCTATACATATAAGCCATTTATGAAATATGTAACTGGAAATACTGCTTTACATAGTGCTGCACAAATGCTAATTCAGAAAAAATCCCAATCCCACTGTTCTCTGACCTCACCCTTTCTGCGGTCTCCTGAGTGTTTGTTCTAGAACAGGGCAGGCAATACCCTGATGTAAGGAACAGCAAGCTGACCAGGGTGTAACAGAACAACCCCATGTGATATTCGCTCTTGCTTATGCATAAGTTTAAATTAAAGCAGTCATAGACTGACTGCATAAAAGAAGTACAATTTATTAATATAAAATTTTATTGGGTCAGAGCTGGGAAAAATTAGTTACCTGGATAAGGTGCACAAAATATTCAATGCCAAAAGTAACGCCATGGTGATACGTCTGCAGACTGCAAAGCCAGACTTCAATCTGAAGTAGCTTGCTGCACTCTGCGTCAGAGGATGAGCATTGCTGTGGGTCTAAACAGTCTTTCCTATCTCCAGGCTGCAGAGATCTGTAGGCTTGGCTAGTTCAATTTATTACATCTTGTCCAGCAGTGTTTGCACAGGTATGATTCGCTTCCATGATCCAGTCACAACAGTGTAATGAGCTTTTCTACATCTGCTGAGCTGCAAGAGATCTGTGGGCCATGAGCACAAGTGAAAGCAATTCTGGGTTTAGTTAACGTGATAACCATATCAGATTTGTTAATCTATGGGAATTTATTTGTTTGAGCCCTTAAGCTGAGTACAAATCTGAATTTGCTGAGTGCACAGTATGAAACCTCACAACAGGAAAATAAAAGTTTGCATCTGGGAGAAATTCTAGAGAAAAAAGATACCACAGTGAGACATCTTTACTCTGAATGGTTGGTCATGGATTACAGATTCTCCTCTGTGAAATCCTCTGAATTAGAGCAATCTCAGTAGAAGTACCCCCTATTGTAAGTAAAATGAAGTGTATTCAATTCAAATGCAAATTTTTGCTTTTGACTATTAAAACTGTCTTCCTTTAGTATTTCCAGAACTGAAAACTCCTGTCTGGTACTTTCTCTCTGCTGCTCCCATCTCTTTGGGCCCCATGGGGACTGGCCTCTTTCTGTGCTCAGAGGAAGGTATGAAGAGGATGATGATGTGAAGCACGTCTCCATCATAGTAATAAAAGGGAGCAATAAAACCCTTTAAAGACCTGTTTTCTGTTTTAGCGTCTA